TTGCCTCCTTGTGTGTATATAGGAGACAGGGTATGTTGGTGTGCTTGCCTCCTTGTGTGTATATAGGAGACAGGGTATGTTGGTGTGCTTGCCTCCTTGTGTGTATACAGGAGACAGGGTAATTTGGTGTGCTTGCTTCCTTGTGTGTATATAGGAGACAGGGTATGTTGGTGTGCTTGCCTCCGTGTGTGTATACAGGAGACAGGGTATGTTGGTGTGTATACAGGAGACAGGGTATGTTGGTGTGTATACAGGAGACAGGGTATGTTGGTGTGTATACAGGAGACAGGGTATGTTGGTGTGTATACAGGAGACAGGGTATGTTGGTGTGTATACAGGAGACAGGGTATGTTGGTGTGTATACAGGAGACAGGGTATGTTGGTGTGCTTGCCTCCGTGTGTGAATACAGGAGACATGATATGTTGGAGTTCTTGCCTCCTTGTGTGTATGCATGAGACCAGGTAAGTTGGTGTGCTTGCCTCCTTGTGATAGCGCGGATCTGATTCTTCTGTAGATTTCTTTTGTCTGTTGCCATTTGTTTCCGAGTAATTCGCGTTGAGCATCAATTATGAAAAAAAAAAAATGATAAAAAAACGAAATATGTTCTTTGTTCCATAAACATTCTGTATCTAGATTAAAGTCGCATGGTTTTACAAACAACACTTGCCTACAAAAGATCTTATTTAATCGATGAAAATTATATAGGGTTTGTTGTCATTCACTTTTTGAGAACCATGTTATCATACTAATGCGTAGTAGAGGACCTTTGCATTGCCATGCGCAGATTCAGGTAATGAACAGACCTGTTATACCCCACTGCGCGTCATAAGAGGCGACTAACGTGGGCCCCTGCAGCTTCCATGTTTCCTTTCTGTCCTCTTTCTAGGGAAACTAAAGAAACCTTATCTGCGACATTTGGGATCGTTGTTTGTTTGTGTATTTGTTTGTTTTTCCCGTTCGTGATCTGATGCCTTCTTTCAAGATAAGGTATTTTCATTTAATTTCAGAATATATAACTTCACATATCCCAAGTAAAACCAGAATTGAGCAACAATAACTAACTACTGTCAGAATGTCCTAACTGGCATGTTAAATATTCTATCGCCACGAAATTTAGAAACATTATTATTCAAGGTTTTACTGCATTAGATAATTTTAGATAATTTTCCGTTTACTTGACTGAAATAAGTCTGCCAAAACATTCACTTTACCATGATTTGCTACTGTGGTAACGTTACCTGTGTACACATTAGATGATATATTTATTGTTTTGTCGTTCACTCTGAGTGTAAGTAATCATACATATTTACAGTATTACTTGGTACCATCATTGATGCCTTTCCCCGTCTTTATTTAAATCTGACATTACGGACCTTGTACTACTGCCCAAGGTTACGAGTTGGATACTGTTGTTTCCGACTTTATTTAAGCTTTGATAAAGAAAACAAAACCTTGCGAAACTTTTATCGAAAGAGTGTAGGTAGTTATAAAATACGGTACGGTTGCGATTCGTGTTATCCCTAACACCTTACCCGTTTGTTCGACTCGGTCGTTCATTTAAATTACCATGTAATGGAGTTTCCGTCTTTTCCCCATCTCTAATTGACAGAAGTCTATCTCAAAGGAATACATGAATTACCCTTATTGGGCTGGAACGTGTATTGGAACATTTAAAAACAACATAAAAATCGAGTGAATTCGTAATTCTATTTTTCCGTAAATTGGTTTGCCAGTTTGTGTAGTTAAACATCCTTAGAGCATACATAGCTATAAACACGACTACGAATACACGTGTTACAGAACATACATAGCTGGAAACATGACTACGAATACACGTGTTACAGAACATACATAGCTGTAAACATGACTACGATTACACGTGTTACAGAACTTACATAGCTGGAAACATGACTACGATTACACGTGTAACAGAACATACATAGGAGGAAACATGACTACGAATACACGTGTAACAGAACAAACATAGTATGAAACACGACTACGATTACACATGGAACAGAACATACATAGCTGTAAACACGACTATGAATACACGTGTTATAGAACATACATAGCTGGAAACATGACTACGAATACACGTGTTACAGAGCATACATAGCTGTAAACACGACTACGAATACACGTGTTACAGAGCATACATAG